CTCTTTCCTGCCTATGCAGGGGGTCGGACTCGATGATCTATTGAGGTCCCTTCCGACCCTAACATCTATGAATCTATGAAAACTAGGTCTGTAACTAAGATTTTTTATTTTTTTAAACAAATGGAAAATTAACAAATTAGTAGCAAAAACTAAACTGAAGAGCTCAGAAATGTAAATGGGGGCAGAGGGGACGTAGCATTCTTTAAGTCAGGACTGTCAAACACATGGTCCATAAGCTGGATTTGGCCTACGGAGCAATATGATCCAGCCTGCGGGTCTCGGACCAATGCCATGCACAGCATGTGGTGCACAGAGCCAGTTTGGTGTGCAGGCTGAGCCCAGTACTGTAATGTATGTGGTGCAGGGGATTGATCTGGGACACATGCTGCATGTGGTGCCTGTACTGAACTGGCTCCGTCTACTGGCTCATGGGCTAGTCTGAACAGGCCACACCAGAGCCAGAGTTCAGGCCTGGTCCAGCAGGGCATTGCATGTAGTGATGCACCCAGAGCTGACCGCCTGTGTTACATACAGCACATGCCAGCTCATCCAGCCTGCACGCTATGTGCAGCACGCCCCTGCCACACTCCAGGACATATAATGCATGCAACATATGTGTTGGACCAGGCGCCACAGGCACTGCTCACAACCCAAGGGGTCAGCACAGGGTGTCCTGGCACACTGGCTCCTGTGCACACAGTCTGGGACCCAATCCTAACTGGCACCACAGCCAGCACACAGGGCTGGCCCAGTAGGGTGCCATGAGCTGCACGCACCTCATGCCAGCCCACAGGGCCATACACAGTACACTGCATGCAACATGAGCACTGGAGCAGAGCTGACACATGCTGCATGTGGCCCAGAGGGCCAGCACAGAGCACACACTGAACATGGTGCCCTGCTAAACTGTCCTGCATACTGGCTCTGCTGAGGCCCAGTCTGGCCTGTAGCCCAGCGTAAATGGGGTTTACTTGCAAACTTGGAACTAGACAAAGAAATCCACTTTATAGGGAAGGTTTACAAAATTGTCCATTATCCCAAAGAACACAAAACTTCTGTTTCCTTCCTAACCACCTCAGGACAGGTGAAAAGGACAAACATAGCCATTAAACTGATGCTGAAAGAGCTTGTCTCCATGGATGGGAATGACTGGGACATTTACAGCAAATGAAGTCACTCCTGGTAGTGCAAAAATTGAATAGCTTTCAAAGTAATAACAAGCAGAGGAGTGAGAATAGCAGAACAATTCCTGTGGGAAACTAGCTGTGCACCTAATGAAGGGACTAAAAAAAATGGATCTTTTTCATACAAAAGTTTCAGGAATACCAGAAAAGGGACGTCTTATGTAGCTGCAGAATTGGAAAATTTAAATATGTTTTGACAAAAGGGTTAAAAGAAACTATTGAAAAGCAGATAACTAGTTTCATAGTAGCTAGGGTCAGAAAGGACCTGAACAGATCATCTAGCCTGACCCCCTGCCACAGGCAGGAATCAATGCAGGGTTCACAAGACCCCAGACAGGTGATCGTCCAAACTCCTCTTGAATTTGCCCAAGGTAGGGGCGAGGAACACTTCCCTGGGAAATTGGTTCCAGATGTTGGCCACCCTAACTGTAAAATATTGCCTCCTGATCTCTAACCTAAACCTATTCTCCATCAGTTTATTACCACTATTTCTTGTCACCCCAGGTGGTGCTGGGGAGAAAAGGGCTCTACCTATTTGCTGTTGATCTTCCCTGATGAGCTTGTAAGCAGCCACCAGGTCCCCCCTCAGCCTCCTCTTGCTGAAGCTGAACAGATTCAGGTCCCTCAGTCTCTCCTCATAGGGCCTGTCCTGCTGCCCTCTCACCAAGGGAGTGGCCCTCCTCTGAACCCTCTCCAGGCTGGCCACATCCCTTTTGAAGTGCGGCGCCCAGTACTGGACGCAGTACTCCAACTACAGCCTGACCAAACTCGCATAGAGGGGGAGTATCACCTCTCTGGGCTGGCTTGAGATGCACCTTCGGATGCATGACAAGATATGGCTGGCCTTGCTGGCTGCGGTCTGGCATTGGCGGCTCATGTTCATCTTGGAGTCAATAATGACTCCAAGATCCCTTTCCACCTCTGTGCTTTCAAGAGGGGAACTCCCCAGCCTGTATGTATGCTGTGGATTCCTTCTCCCAAGGTGCAGCACCCTGCATTTGTCTACGTTGAACCCCATCCTATTCTTGTCTGCCCACTTTTGTAGTCTGTCTAAATCTAGTTGCAGCCTCTCACCCTTCAAGTGTGTCCACCTCGCCCCACATCTTAATGTCATCAGCAAACTTGGACAGTGTGCTTTCCACCCCCTCGTCCAAGTCGCTGATGAAGATGTTAAAGAGCGCGGGCCCGAGGACCAAGCCTTGGGGGACCCCACTGCTCACATCTCACCAGGCTGAGTACAACCCGTCCACCACTACTCTCTGGGTGCGCCCCGTCAGCCAATTTTTTACCCATCCAACTGTGCAGGCATCAATGCCGCAGTCGCTTAATTGATTGATGAGGATGGGGTAAGAGACAGTGTCAAAGGCCTTCTTAAAGTATAGAAAGACTACGTCCACAGCAACACCATCATCCAAGGATTTAGTTACTTGGTCATAAAAGGCAATCAGGTTGGTCAGGCAGGACCTAACTTTGATGAACCCATGCTGATTGCCCCAGAGCATGATCTCCCCTGCAGGCCCCCACAGATGTGCTCCTTGATGATTTTCTCCAAGATCTTCCCAAGCACAGAGGTGAGGCTTACAGGCCTATAGTTACTTGGGTCCTCCTTCCTCCCTTTCTTGAAAATTGAGACCACATTAGCCAGTTTCCAATCCCCCGGCACCTGGCCAGATGACCACGAATGCTCATACAGCCGGGCCAAGGGCTCTGCGATGACCCCTACCAAATACCTCAACACCCTAGGGTGGAGGGCATCTGGACCTGCAGGTTTAAAAATGTCTAGCCCTTCCAGAAGATCCCTAACTACATCTGCACTGACTGAAGGCCTGACAGCTATCCCCGAGATTGTCCCTACCTCTGCTAGGTGGGATGTCCCGGTCCCTGTTCCAGAAAACAGGCAAAGAAACTGTTAAAAATATCAGCTTTCTTGTCTGGCATAGCCACAAGACTACCGTTTGTGTCTTGCAGGGGCCCTACATTGCCTGGTGCCCTCCTCTTGCTCCCAATGTACTTGAAAAAGGACTTTTTGTTGTCCTTAATCCTGGACGCTAGCCTGAGTTGTATCTTTGCCTTGGCCTTCCTAATAGCCCTCCTGCACTCCCGGGCCAAGGAGGAGTACTCCTCCTTGGTGATAGCTCCTCCCTTCCACTGGTCATAGCTCCTTTCTCACGATATACCAGGACACAACCTCTCATAGATGTTTTAGTTATTCCTGTCTTGTAGATAAACTGAGTTCCTCTGTGTTTGAATTTCAAGTTACTGAAAACAAGAACAATGTAAATACATTTCATTGAACAAATCAACATAACCTGTTTATAGGTAAAATCAGTCATCTGAAAACTTAAAACTTGTCCCAAAACAACATGTGGCTTATCCTAATACTACTAATATGAAATTGCACTTTTCAATCATTAGAAGAAACCTAAAACTTGTATCATTTAAAAGGAAGTTTTGAGTAGAAAATTTTTCTTCTCTGTTACATATGAAAGCTCACTGCCCAAAGGCCACTGATGAATGGACCCAAGACCACCAAGTGATTTAACTTCTATATCCATGCCTGTGCCTTTGCTTAATACTGTATAATTTATATGTACAACTGTCATTCTGAATATTTCCACTTCAAAATGGCTACATTTGGCCATCATGGTATAGCCAGTTTATCACTGCTGCATACTTTTCTGTTAAAATATACAATACTATTTATCTAACTCTTTGAAAACTATAATGCATGGCTCCAAGAGTCTGTTTACTTTAAAAAAATCTGTTGTATGCAACATGTGTAACTTTGGTTAAGCCAGTGGAGACTCAATCTTTTTAGATTTAAGGCACCTATCCTCAACTTGTGCGAATTTGCCAGTACCCCCAGTTGAGAACCACTGTTGTGCTTCCTCAGGCTTATCTCAGTGGTTTCCAACAGCCCTGCCCACCTACTTTAAGTTTCAGACAACTTCAGTGAGGCTGGAGAATGCCCACATGCCACAGCCCTTCCATGCCTGACTGTGCACCAGGCATGTGGGCACTTTTCTCTGGCCACTGCAATAGCATCAGGGGTGGTGCCCACAGTATGACACCCCTGAGGATGTTGAGAATCACTGGGTTCATCTGTATAACAACACAAGTAGAAATTAATGAATTAAGAAAGCAAGGAAAGCAGTGTAGGCCGAAAAATTATTTGTGGTGTTTATGGGAAAAATGAAGTCTACCGCAACCTTTTAATTGGAAGATTCTGAAAGAGGTAGAGGAAGAGGAAATCCCAGTGTATGACAAACTTCTGTGAACTGACAGTTTCTCAATTCCTTTAACTAATTCCTTTAAGTACCATTCATAAGTAGAGGTCCATGACACCACACACTAACTTGCTATGCCAAACCTGCTCAGTATCAGTTTCCACATACTAATATTGAATCCTGATACTGTCATGCTTGATAACTTGTCAGAGTTAAGCAATGAAATCCAGTATAGCTACTGAATTTCCCCTGATATGCCTGAGCAAAATTCTGGGCCAGACTGACATGTTTCTTACCTTTTTTCATCATTCGTGTTTGAACTGGGATCGCAAAACTTTGTACCATCATTTCACTACAAATCCATTTCTTAATTTTCCTCCCAATGTTTGATAACTGCAAAAAAGATTCTAGGTTGGCAACATGTTTCCTTGTGGGGTAAGATGCAATTTTGTTCAGCTGGCTACTCTCAAAGGCATTCTGGGTACCCACGACGTAGATATCAACTCCACTGCGTCGTAGTTTAGTAGCCGACTTGGTGAAATCATCCAAGGATTGGCCACCAGTGATAACCACAGCTATCTGCTGCACTCCTTGTTTTTTCCTGCTACCTGCTTTTCGAGTAAAAACATCTTTCCTCAGGAAATCTAGCGCAGCACCAGTGTATGTTTTCCCACCACGATAGGGCAACTTCTGCAAGTAGTGCAAGATTTCCAATTTGTTCTCAAATGTGTCCAGAGTGAATTCCAGTCTTGGTTCATCACTGTATAGCACCAAGCCAACTCTTACATTATTGGGGCTGATATGCAGTGCATTGATAATTGTGAACAGAAAGTCTCTTATCAGCTTAAAATTCCTCAGTCCGATGCTGCTGGATTCATCCACAAGGAACACAATATCTGCTATGGATACAGTGGCACACACTGGAAGTAAACAAGCAAAGAAGAACAAGATAACTAGATTATTGTAGGTCAGAATGTAGGATCCTTAACAGATACAACTGGATAATTTATTTAAAGAAATAGCTTAAGCAGTGCGTTACATGGATTTGGCACAGAATACCAGATCCCAATGCCTATAGGGTTCAAAGTTGCTTCTCATTCTCATAGTCCAGACCTAACTTTATAACGGGCCTGAATCATCTGACAGATCTTAAATAGCTTCCCAGGGCAAAACTGGAGGAAGTATTCAGATTGGGCATCAGATTGAAACCAACACAGTAAATCCAAATGCTCCAGGGCATTACCAAAATTGTTCTTTGCGGTCTAGTCCAAACTATTTCCATAGCACAGTGGCTGTCAACCAGGGGTACATGTACCCTTAGGGGTACTTAAAAAGGTCATAAGGGGTACACAGAACTGATGTGGCCAATGATATAGCAGATTGAGGATTGAGGCCCCAGTGGTGTGGGAGGGAGTGGGGCTGGGGTAGTAGCAGGGGCTGCCCAGCCAGGGCAGGGTGCAGGACTGAGCTGCACATGGGGGGGGGGGTGCAGCTCCTGCTCCCCATGCCCTCCCAAGGGTGCATGCCCCTGGATCTGTATGCGGGACAAGGGCAGGCTTCCACTGCAGGCTGGGGCTGGGGCCAGGGCAGCGCCAGGCTGTTCCTGGTGGGGGTGTTAGGCCAGGCTGCACTCAGGGCAGGCAGCAGTGGTGCTGGGAGGTGGGTGCATGCAGCGGCAGGAGCCACCCCCTCCCCCCACACCTCCCGAACAAACTGCTAGGGGCTCTGCAGCACCTGCCCTTGTCCCAGCCCCAGGCCTAGCCCCACTCCCTCCCTCACCATGGGGGCCTCAATCTGCACCCCACCCCCAGCCCCTTAAAAACAAGAACAAAAAATATAAAGGAGTACATGAGCTGAAACTTTGAGACAGAAAGGGTACACTTGTTTTAAAAAATTGAAAACCCTGCTATAGCAGCTTTCTAGAAACAAAAGTAATTCACACTAAATATAAAAATATTTGTGCAAAAATTTTGTCTTGCAACAAGCAATTTCACTGAACCAATAACAGGAACTCAACAGTTCAAATGAGGGCAGAATTTCATTTCATAAAACCAATGTAGATAAGTATTAGCAACTTTAAGTATACTGATATCACATCCACACTGCTGTATGCTGTCACTCTGGAGCCTTTCACAAGCCCTAAATTCAGTCATCTACATTCTACCCCAGTTATGAATAAACTATAGAGCTCTCTCATATATGACCTGGTTCAAGCTGATGTTGTCACTCTGGTGACATACTGTACCTTCTGGCATCTTCATAATTTCATGGTGTTGCTGAACTGGTGGTTCCAAAATGTTAATAATGTCCTGATGCAGCTGACTGATGCTGTCTCCTTCATCTACCTGGTAAACCCAGGGGGAGGTGGCAATCACCTCCATTTCTTGCCTGTCAGAATTCTGGACACCAATTGAGATGACCTTCACTCCCATCTCTTTCAGCTTCAGGGCACTTTCCAGCACTTCATCTTCTGATTTAGCAGATGTGATGACCACTGCAAACTGAGGAGTGCCTTGGCTAAACCGGCTTCCAGCATCTTCTGTGAAAAAAGCTTCACATAGAAACTTCAGGGAACTTCCTGTCTGTAAAGGGCCCCCCATGAAAGCAACATACTCCTGGATATGGTTAAGCACATCTTCCTTGTTTGCATAGGTGTTCAGAAAAAACTCTCCCTGGCTTTCTGTGCTATATTGGGCCAGGCCAATCCTGAATTTATCCATCCCAATGTCTAGCTGCTCAACAACGTGGTAGGCGAACTGTTTTACTTGCTCAAAGGTGGAAGATCCCATGTGCACAGAAGAATCAACAAGGAAAACAACATCTCCATAGTGCTTTGTAAATGCTGCAGAAAGGAAAAAAGTAATAAATGTGTTATAGGGAGGGATACTATCAACCTGGATTCAAATCTAGCTTTGGACTGTAAACTGAACTGAAACTAAACTCTGTTCATCTGGACCAGTGGTGCTCAATCTCTGGCCAGAAGAGGCATGTCATCTGGCCCATGGGGCTCCCCGCAGGTCCTGAAATTTTGCGGAAAGGTTGCCAAATTTCCAACACCTGTAGGCCAGATGACATCACTGTGTGTGCAGAGCCAGGCCATGAGCTTTATTTGGCCCCAGAGCTGGGGTCTGATCTGGCAGGCAGGACTGCATGCTAGACAGGGGACCAGATGGATGGAGGCTGGCTGGGTTGTCCCCCCACATACTGAATTGTGCCCTGGCTGCATGTGCCAGATTGGATCCATGGACTGAACCTGGCTCAAAGACCAGCCCTGCATCACTCACTCATCCTGCGGAGCCAAAAGGTTGAGCACCGCTGTTCTAGACTATTTTAAACTGAGAATTCTGCAGAATAAAATTGGTGCTGAACTAAGGCCAATATGGTATGACCACTGTTCCCAGAAACTCTTATGAAATAGAGAAATGTTCTGTGAATTGGTGCTAGTGAAAAAAAAAAAAAAATCACATTTTTGGATGATCTTTACATCTGAGGGTAGAAATAGATGTCACCTGATGTTGCATTTGTGCTGCCATAAAAGTCTTTATGGTGGCACAAAGACTAAGAAAATAGATGTCCCTACCCTTTGTCACACCACATCAAAGGCTAATCGGTGGTGGGACAAAAGGTAGTAATAGATGCTGCTGCTTTATTAAGGCAGACATCTATTTGCTCTATGGTGGAAGAGTCTAAGCAACGCAAGCAGCCCAAACTCTCCAGCCACTCCAGGGAAGCGCTCTGGAAGCTTGAGGAGCTCAATCCTATGTATCCAGGAATTCTCCCACAGGACCAGGCCCCTCAATCTCTTGCCCTACCTGCCTGGATATCCCCACTGACAGAGGCGCACTCTGGGGAATCTTAGGGTGGCTCTCTGTAAGCAGGGAAAGTCAGGGTTACCCATTTATGGAGGTTTGCCCTAGGATCTCCTGGGTCACCTTAAGCAGGGAAAGCTTGTTCTAGAGCTTCCCTCCACTGAGCTTCTGTTAAATCAAAGCCTGTATGTCCATTTAACATATGTCTCTTATGAATAGGGCCTGGTTTAAATCACGAGCCCACCTCGCAGCATGGCAGCTCCTTTAACCTGGAGTTCCCCCCATGTGCCCTGCTCCCCCACTGATTGGCAGAGGGGCCCTGCCATTCACTCCTGATGGCTGGGAGGTGAAAACCATGGTTTTAAATCTGGTGCTGTTTTTGCCTCCTGTCCGGTCAGCAGCAAGCAGCTGGAGGCAAAAACTGTGGCATATATACAACTACGGTTTTCACCTCCCAGTCATCAGGAGCAAGCAGCAGGGCCCATCTGCTAAATCAGTGGCAAGAAAGTGGGGATACACGGGAGGAAATTCCAAGATTAAAGGAGCCACTGCACCGCAAGCTGTGCCCGCAATTTAAACTAGGCCCTACTTATGAGAACTTTTTTCCATTTAATGGCATTATCCCCCTAAGATGCTTACCTAAGCACTTCAAAGTCTTCAATATGTTCATCTTCACAACAATCCAGTTAGTTAGGGAAGCTGCCATTATGCCCTCTGATCATATGAAGAACTGAGGCACTGAGGCCTCTGGCAGACAGTTTAAACATTAGTTTAAACCTGGAATCGGACCTTAGGAATTGTATCCTGGATCCCAACAATCACACATCCTACTATGCCAGATATTCAAGGTTTTTAGCATCTGGGAAAAACTTCCTCAGATTTCACTGTGTCAGTGCCACACCCAATCCCAAATGTGGAGCTGAACAGTATCTTCAAAGGTCCCAATGCATGACTTTAAAACATATGGTTAAGTCATGTTGACTATAATGGAAATAATACAAGCTAAAGAAACACTTTTCTGAATTGGCACCTTAATCAACATTAACTCAACCGGTTTCAGAAAAGTAACATAAGGTCAAACTGGTGCAAATCAGATTAAAATAAAATCAGGATATATTTTTCACCTTTTACTTACATAAGTACATCAGAAAAACTTCTGAAATGCTACCACTGGAAAGATAATTTATTTACCTTGAATCTGGCTCTCAATTGCAAAGCACATTGTTTGCAAAAGGCTAGTGGAGAGATCTTGAAGTCCATCAAAACTGTCAGTACGAAACAGAAACTTCTTGAAAGGCCTGCTGGAAATTTTCTTAAGCTCAGTAGGATCCCGGTCATTTATTCCAACCACATACAAAGAGATGCCTCTGACTTTCAGCTCCTTGGCTTGTGTTCTGACCTCATCATTAGATTCCCCAACAGAAACCAGTATGACCACCTGAGGGACATTTTCCTCAGCTCTGCTACCAGCAGCTCTAGTGAAATATTCTGTCCTAATGAAATCCAGAGCTGTTCCGGTGTAAGTTCCTCCACTTCTATTGGGCAAATTCTTTATCTGTTCTAAAATATCACTTTTCAATGAATATTGATTCAGCAAGAACACTTTGTATGGCTCACGGCTGTACTGTGCCAATCCAACTCTGACCTGATCATTACCAACTTCAAGGCTTGAAACCAAAGTGTAGAGGAAGTCCTTCATCTTCTGAAAGTTTTCCTGGCCAATTCTTGATGAAGTTTCCACTAAAAATACAATATCCGCTGAGGTGGCTTTTCTGCAAGCTACACAAGAAAGGTGATAAAAGGTGAATGAATAGTTAAGTTGCTTTTCATTGATTTCATAGCTATCTTCATACACAAGGAAAATTTGACTTTTCCTCCTACAAACTGAATTTAAATTGTTATCAAGCTGATTAGTTTTGATGCAACCATGCCAGAACACTCTTATGGATGTTTTCATACTATAAACAGATACTTATAGGAATACACTGTGGGAAGAGGGTACATGTTAAAAGCTGGACAACAAAAGGGATAAGACAGACAGTTGAAAATCTTGGTCTGGCTGCATTTCATAGCTGTCAATACTTCATCTATGAATACAAATGTATTGGGTCCAAAGGTTTTTATGCAACCCAAATGGTCATAACCCTCCCACCAGTTGCTGAAGATGTTCTTTCCATATACAAGACCATCACACAGGGCTAAAGACCTAAAACAAAAATCAAAGTGTTGGGAGTGCTGTAACACACCTAAGGATAGATTAATTTGACAGTCTTGCAATTAAAAAAAAACTTGTGAGTAAATTTGCTACCTGCAAATACAAGTAGAAAATTGACTTGCAAGTACAGATTTCCCTCACTTTACGCGGTACGTGCGTTCCTGGAAAAAGGTGCATAACTCTAATTTGCATAAAGGGAACCTACTTTACAATGTAACAAATAGGGATACTTTCCAAGATCTTGACCATAATGACCCCCAGACCCATTTCTACCACTTTTACAAGACAATTTTGGTACTCACCAACAGCAAACAGTAAACACAAGCACAGGGTGGTGGTGAATGTTACCATAATGGGGATGGCAACTACAGAAATACATGTCGTAGACAACGAGCGAGGAGTTTCCACACAGGAAACTATATTTTGGTGCTTGTCACTCCTACAATGCACCACACAAAGCAGCTGACTGTGGGCTTCCAACACACCGATCACATAAGAGTGAATTTACCTCGCATATAATGAATATTTTTGGTATAAAAAGTGTCATCACATAAGAGCAAATATGCACATACCGAACCTGCATACAGCGAGGGAAACCTGTATTTGATTTGCACAGCATTGCTTTGTAATGGAACAAGTAAAGCTGGCAATGTTTTATTCCCCAAATATTGTCAACTACTGCAATTGCACATCTGTACAAAGCAAGATTGTTCCTTGGTTTTTGAAAGCAATGAACATCACCACAAATAAACCAAAAGCTATTGGACCACCATTTTTGGTAAAATATATATGTTATATTACTGTATTTACTCAAATCTAAGGTGACCCTGAATTTATTTATTTGTTATAATTTTCCAGGTATAGAATTTAATTATAAGAGGGCTGTCAAATCCTACTCTGGCTCTGAGCTGATGTGACAGTAAGGGGAGAAAAGGGGAGGAGCAGGGCATAAGCTGCAGAGGTTCAAGCAGAGTGGGAACAGGAAACTGCTGTTGGTCTGACTCAGTAGCTGTCTGCACCCTCCCCCACTCCCCACATTATACAGAAAACCCTGTTAATTTGAAACACAGAAGACAAAAAAAGCTGTCATTGAAATAAATATCTACACACAAATGATCATTTTAACTTATTGCGAACTGCTATGTTTCCACACGAGTACTCCATAAACACACTTTGGAGCAGTATTATTATACTTACTTATGCATAGTACAAACTGTGCATGATATTAGCCCAGAACCAAAAGGCTTATGATCTGTCATAGTTCATTGGGTTGGGCTCTAGCAGAGTCAACAGCATTTCAAGCCATGGTGACAGCCCAGCACTGATCAGTATGTGTGCTCCCCAACAAAGGATGCAGGTGCCAATTCCCCACTCAAGACTGGAGCCAGGTGTTGTTGTCACAAGTCCTAGGACCCTCCAAAAATGTATATGCAGATCAGGTGCATGGCCACTTGGTCCGGCCCCAGTGGGTGGGGCTACATCAGTCACATGCAATGGCCTGAGAGAGGGGGCAACAGAGCCTCTCATTTACATAGATGTCTAGTAATGTTTGGCAGATATAAGGCTGGTGAAGAAACAGGAATCATTGGAAACGGGAAAGAAAAGCACTGCTTAGCTGTGGGAATGAAGTAGAAATCAAAATATATTTGATGTAGTGGTTCATTATGAGTTGAAAAAGAGTCAATGCTGAGGGGGACTGAGTACAATGGGCCCTATATCTTATTCAAATGGGCTGCATTAACCTAGCCATGTGGTGGGTTTCCATCAGTATGTTTGACCAAGATAGGCCAGATGTTGTATGGGCATGTTCAGTGTGGGCTGCATTCAGTTATTTTCACAGATTGTTTCCAGGACTGTACAGTACTGTTTGTGACAGTGGTTTAAAGATAGGAATGTATTTAATGGGTTTTCCTGTAAAGAAATGTAAGATGAGGGGCTTTTTTCTCATGCTGATGGGGAAAAGACCTCATCTTATATTTGGGAAAATAGGGTTTGTTATTTATTTATATATATACATACATACATACATACATACATACAAGTGAAATATAAAAAAATAAAATGTGTGTGTATATATAACATACTGTATTACACACACACACACACACACACACACACACACACACACACACACGTACGTCTGTAGTACTCCAAAAAATTAAATGGCACCAGCTCTTTCACAGATACAGAGTTAATAAGAAGCACAGGACCAAATCTTATTTCCAGGAAGGGCAAAGGAAGGTTTGTTATTGACCTCAGTGGAAACAGGAACAAAGCTATAATGTATTACCAGTTGTCTGTGCATCAGTGAAACAGAAGGCAGCTGCGAAGAGAAGAATAAGAAGTAGTTTGCAGTTATCCATTCTGAGATCTTCCCTAGAAAAAAAGAGAAAAAATCCCATAAGAAACACAGAATATATCAAGATGCCTCAAGGAATTTTTAATCGTGAAAAAGACAGCTTATAACTTCTTAATTAATTTAAGGACATAAGCTCTGCAGTTTATTTTCCCTGTGCCTTGCTCTTTAAAAAGCTCCTACCCACCGAACAAACAACTACTTTCAAATGCAGATTGATCAATATTTGAATCAATAATAATAAACTAATTGGAACAAGAATGGGCAAATTCAAATATTTCTGTGTTGAAGAAAATTCAGGTACAAATCAGTGCTGGCTCAGAGTATCCCCATTCCTATTTCTTTGTCATACTTAAATTCTGATTGCTACAAACAGTTCTTTAACTTCAGATTTTCCTCCTTCACTAGAAAGAATGAAGATTTAGGAGTCTGAAATCAATGTGTCTAGCTCCCTTATTTGGTTAAATATTTGGTTAATTGTACTTGGTGGCCTGTGGTTTAAATGGATATTATAAAAACAGGGTCAAGTTTAGAAATGGGATATGCCAGTGGAGCGAACGATTGCTAATGGCAAAGACTTCTCCCTTGATGAATATGCATAAGTGAAATATTTTGCAATTCAGTACTAGCAAATAACCCATCTCTCACAAGGAAATTACAGCCACATATTGAGCAAAGACACTGAAAATAAGTAGTTTGGGGCAGGAAAAAAAACATGATTTTTAAGACCTTTAGAGTTTATGCAGTGTAGTAAATGAATAGTTAAAGGAACAAAAAAGAAATACTGAACCACTGTCCAGAAGGCTAAGCTTGCAAAAGTAGATAGTTCTGAAATATTTCCTATGCTGTTTTTTCTGTGAAGTCTCTGAAGAACAGCATCTTCCTCTATCCTTGCTGACTGGTTCCAGCTGCCTGTTCTCTAATTCTACCCTTAAGGTCTGTCCTGGATCAAAACTGAGCAGTACAGCACACAGCACAAATGGAATATGGAAGAAAGTATATCTGGTAAAACACAAAATAAGCAGCCTGGGTTTTTCTTTAGAGTAATATGAGCAGAGCGGAGTTAGAGCGGCAGGTTCCATCAAGAAAAGAAGGTAAAATAAGGTGCAGAGGCTCTTAATTCTATGGCCTGTATTATACAAAACTATATAATACAGTGGTCTCGTCTGGCCTCCACATTCTCCTAAGTCTTTGACCTCTGTAGTATGATTGTCTGCTGCATCCAAGCCTGCCAAAGCCCTTCCTCCCACCAGACTTATGGGGTTGGGAGGATTCAGTATATCAGGGAAGAGGGTGTCTATGGTAAGAGGTGAAGGACCTAGGAGCTCCCATGCTCTGATCCCCTCCCAGCTTTGCAGCTAGTTTAAATCCAATTTCTCATGGCTGCTAATGCTGCTTATATGTTTATACAGGCTTCCCAATAGCAAATACCTCAAAATGAAACGAGATTTAGGAAGAAGCAGACCAACCATCCCTGCAAAATGCAAAAGAACAGGCAAAGATGGGAAACGAGTTCCCTACTGATACCTAGGCTCCTCAGGGTGGGAGCCATGGTCCCAGCCTCTCCACTGCACCATGCCCTTCCACCTCAAACAGAGTAGCAAGGAAGAAATTCCCATAAGAACAGCATGAAGCTTGAAGTTTATGAACTCAACAGCATGAAGTTTATTAACTCTTTATCTGTCTCCCCAGGGGTTTTCTGTAGAAGGACAGAATATGGTTCAAGCCTTTTCTGCAATCCTTGTCTGAGGTAAAATGTAGCAGCGTTTTATTGTTATTTTCACATTGCTGTTTAACGTAATCTTTTTAATGGATAAACCTCCCGCTACAGACGTATATTTGCCAAGACAAATCATAAAATGTCAATATATCTACCACATGCACTAGACAAAAACTGAAGTACAAAACCCTAAAGACAAAACAATTTCATGGATACGATAGTACAATAGCAAATATATATATATATATATATATATATAGTCTGCCAGCATCCTGGAGATACAATTTTCCTCTGCATTAATGTATGGGCAGACAGTCTGAGCTGAATGCTCAAGCAATTAATCAGAGTAATGTGCCTTCTTTTCTGACAGATGTGTCTCTTTACTGCATATTAAAAACTGTATCATCATACAATAAACTTCAATATTCTTAACTTTTTGTCCACCTTAGGACCACCAAATTACCTTCAATTCATAGATGTTAGGGTCAGAAGGGACCTCAATAGATCATTGAGTCCGACCCCCTGCATAGGGGAGAGCACCACCTCCCTTGGGAGCCCGTTCGACCTTGGCCACTCGAACTGTGAAGAAGTTCTTCCTAATGTCCAGTCTAAATCTGCTCTCTGCTAGCTTATGGCCATTATTTCTTGTAACCCCCAGGGGCGCCTTGGTGAGTAAAGCCTCACCAATTCCCTTCTGTGCCCCCATGATGAACTTATAAGCAGCCATAACGTCGCCTCTTAACCTTCTCTTGCGGAGGCTGAAGAGGTCCAGGTGCCCCAGTCTCTCCTCATAGGGCTTGGCCTGCAAGCCCTTAACCATACGAGTGGCCCTTCTCTGGACCCTCTCCAGGTTATCCACATCCCTCTTGAAGTGCGGCGCCCAAAATTGCACGCAGTATTCCAACTGTGGTCTGACCAGTGCCGGATAGAGGGGAATTATCACCTCCTTTGTTCAATGTCTTGCCAGATCCCATCATCCTTTCTGGGTACAAAGAATTCCAGGATTAAGGTCACAGCAACAAACTTTAGGTGGCTACTAGTTGAGAAGAAGTGGTTTGTAGGTGAATGGCAAATGGATACTGCAGGACGGGAGCATAAGATGGTAAGGAAAGCCAAGTGCCATGGTCTTGTTGTTAGTAAGAAATATATGCAGTTAAGTGTTAAACAGTTAGCTCACCAGGGAGATCTGGTTTGGGTCAAAGAAAGAAAGAGAGAGCACACATGAAAGCACACATGCAAAACAGAATCAATTTTACACTTTTGTCATGTAATTCAGAGTTTACTGCACGCTGCACTTTGGTCAACCACTTGGTGAAAGAGAATTCTGCCCATAGTCTCCACACATGAGTTCGCAAGCCTGGGCACTAGTAAACCTATTCTACTTTTTGTCCTGCTTAATATCTCATTCATAAGAAACCTTTGCCATCTGCAAGCAAGCATGGGTCTCAGTGAAAAGGACAACCTAAAAGAAATAGCCATTTTCTTGAGTATTATAGGACCTAAAGCTATTAATGTTTTAAATAGCTTGCAAATGTAGTATGAGAAGACAAGCCATACACCTGTAGTAAGTAAATTTTAGGAATTATCCCAAATAAAGTGAAACTTTGGAATGACACAGGCTTTATGTGAGTATCCAAAGGATGGACAATCTTTTGTCGAATTTGAGTGACCTCAGGTTAATGAGTCAGACATGTAATTATGGCATTGTGGTGGGGGGATGGGGGTGTACACCCATGGGGAAAATTGTCTGTCTGGCATCTGGGGGAGGTCAGAGGGCTAAAGATAGCCTGGTCATGGTGGGGGGAAAGCAGGGGTAGAAAAAGTGAGGCCCTGAGGCTGGGGCAAGCAGCGGGGCTTTCCTCTGAATATGTACACATGTTTGGATTAGATCAGGTGTGGATTAGCCATGGTTCACGTCCTAGGTGAACTAAAGTTAGATCAGGCTTCTTAGGGCCGTGTTACATGGAACACTTTGCATGTGTTAAATGCTCTTAAAATGCCAGTGCCCATGTATTCAAACATGAGTGCTTGCATATAATATCATAGCAAAGCTTTTCGAGTGAAGAGCATCTCCAGATCCTATTATACAATATGAGTTAACATGGGACTGTTTCATGGAGATAATACAATCAACAGAGGTCTGATGATTGTGGGTCCCAGCCACAGAACTGCATGCGAGTCTGGAACTGGCTCTGGTAGGACCTGGGGTAAGACCAAAAATCAGCTGATTGTTGACACCAGATATGGGACTGCATCAAAGTCTCAGACTGGCTCCAGAGCAGTCCCTGGGCTGGGACCAAAAATCTCTTGTTTGTCAGTCCCAGCCCCACAACAAGACTGGTGTGATATGTGGGCTGAATCTGACAATCTTTGATTGTAGTAAGTATGACAGTGGGGCTACTCAGAACACATTCTAATTTTTAACTTACTATAGTAATGCTTACTACGATCTCAGATAAAGCATGTGCTAAGTGTCCCAAGTGGCAAGGCTCTTACTTTAAATAGGTGAAGGAGGCATCATCTCTCAGTAAAGAACTTCCATTATGCAGAGTACCATATGATAAGGTATCAATAAAACCTGTTTAACATGGAATTATGTCTTTGAAGATCATGACTAAAAACGTTTGAATAGGAACCGAGGCATGAACTATGAGATTACCCGTAACAGGCCAGCAAGCAAGCAAAACTTTCAGTTAAAGGACTTACAAATTGCAACAAAAAAGTGTTCAAAAAGACTTTCATTGCACATGATGCTTAAATTGCACAACAGTTCTGTATAAAGCAGAACAGAAAAGAATGTCCATCTGGAGAATTAAGACCAGCAGAGTACAAAGTATGGCATGACTCACAGATAAAGGCAGGAAACAATACATTGTTTTCACCATAATTGAACATATTGTTGTCGGTATCAAGTGTTTATTTGGTAGGCCAACTGGTGAAGAGAATATTATGACAATTTTTATCATATAATAGTAAGAACTGCAATGATGGTAATGAATACAGTCTGGTTAACAAATCAACACTATTTATAGTACACTTATTCAGCTAAATTTCTTTAGAAAGATAAACAGTTTACTCTGATTATCCATCTACAGCAGCTGCCAGGATTTGATGTCAGTGGAATGAATGTGCAAAGAAGCTGAGTTTTTATATTGCCACAAAGCCTTCACCATGTGTTACATCCTTTGTAACTGACTCCAAGTCAATTGACTTTTTTCTGTTCTGAGAAACCCCACAATAATTTTCCAGTCATGGGACTATTGAAGCCAGAACCAGGCACTGGCAAGGGTCTTGTGTACA